TTGCAAAATTATTTGAAAATGGATGAGAAAGGCTCAGAATTTAAATAAATATGCCTGAAGCTTTTCTTTCCTCGTGTGTTCTATTAGCTAAAAGAGTAATACTTTTGTGTATAAAGAGAATACTAACATAAAAATTTGAATTATTAAGTGTTAATGGTTTCATTACATTTTAATGTTCATATATATTAAAATTACCAATTTTTATAACTAAGGAGCATATAGAATACTGCTGTTTTCCCATAGCTTTTTGTTTTGAGATATGGTCTCATTATGCTGCCCCACTGATGCAAGCAATTCTCCTGCCTCAGTCTCTTCAGTCACAGGAAGTACTTGATGTGCCATGACATCAAGCTACAACAGATTTATTTTATTTAAGATTCTTTTAAATTTGTGTGTGTGTGTGTGAGAGTGTGTGTGTGTGTGTGTGTGTGTGAGTGTATGCTGTGTGCCAGAAGAGGGCACTGGAATCCTGGCTCTGGAGTTAGTGTCAGTGGTTGTGAACTACCAGATATGGGTGCTGGGAATAGAACTCAGTGTAGACGGAAGTTCCAACAGTTGCTTTATGCGAAAATTCTTGCCAAACATTTGGGCACCATTTGTAAAGTTTTTTTTCACACACACCCTTTTTTTTAATTACAACACTCTTTGGCCAACAGCTCAGGCTTATTATTAACTAGCTCTTACAACTTAAATTAACCCATAATTCTTATCTGTGTTTAGCCACATGGCTTGGTACCTTTTCTCAGTGCAGTATCTTCATCTTGCTTTTTCTGTATGTGGGTGGTGACTGCAGACTGAGCCTTTCTCTTCTCAGAATTCTCCTAGTCTGGTTGCCCCACCTATACTTCCTGCCTGGCTACTGGCCAATCAGCATTTTATTAAAACAATACAAGTGACAAATCTTTACAGTGTTCAAAAGCATTATCCCACAGCACCTGCCTTTTCTGAAGGATAAAGGATAGGGACCACACTTTGCCCACAGAAGGGCACATAGTGCTCTTCTTCAGCAAACAGCTTACACAGCAGCAGAGCTGTTTAATTGCCTGGACATAATCACCGTATCCTGTCTAGAGCATCTTTAATACATTATGGGTGTGGTGTCCAGGGTCCCTCCAAAGGATACAACACAGAAAAGTCATGTACATGGTGTGGTATGGTTTACTACTCGGTGTATTTGCTTCTCCCTGAAGACAGTTTATTTATGTAGCAGCCATTTTTGCCAACAATATTGGTCACATGCTACCTTTTCTGGCTGAGAGGGGAAAGGAGCTAGAACATAGGACAAATTCTCATGCAGAAGGAGAAAGAAGTTTGCTAACTGGGACCTGCAGGACCTGCTTACACTGGAGTCTTTAGCCATATCCTAGATTATACTTGCTAATCATCACTGTTCACAGCGTTAGCTTTGATATTCATATCTGAGATTAGATGCACATGGGAAAAAGCTTTTCTACCATGTTTGGATATTGATGTCTTTAAACTACTTTGCTATTTTATGTGTATTTATGCATGCCAGTGCACATGTATGGAGGCCAAATGGCAACTCTGTGAAGCAGAGTCTCTCTTCCACCAGATCAACGTACAGATGTATCAAACGCAGATTAAAAAACCAAAATGAGGTTGTTACTGTATTTTTCTGTTCCTTATTGCTTTTAGTAAAGTTTCAAAAAAAGTTCTAAGAACTGCTTAGTTTATATGCAGAAACAGGAGGAAATGGAACTATCTAGATGTTCAGGGTCTGTGATATTGAAGAGTTACTTTGCTGCCTCAAATGTTCATAGAGATAAAGGAAGGGTCAAAGTAAGGGTATTGTCCTCGCAAACAGCTTTTGTATTTCTGCTGGCCTTAAGGTGGTCTTTGTAAAGATGAGAGAGGAAGGTACAGATAGAAGAAAGCTAACAACCAAAGCTTAGGGGTTAGACCTAGAACAGATGTGAGCTGTAGTTATCTACACAAGAAATGAACTGGGAGCAACTAGGCCACAAGCTTACGGGGTTTAAAGAAGCCTGGTTGCCACAGAAACCATGAGTCTGGCCTGGAAATGTCTGTCTCTTTGAATTCCTTAAAGCATCAGAGGCTCTAGCCTTCAAACCCATCCCAGTTGAAAGAGTTGCGAGAGATGGGTACGCTAGCGGGGAAACACACATCCACAGTAATCTCTGATGTGGCCAGCAGTGGTTATGGGCAAAGTGGATTCTCCAAGGGGAGCGAGCTGGCCAGACTGCCCTTCCATTGCCAGAAAAGCCACTCAGTTGTCACCGATGAGGAATGAAGACGGCTGTGTAGCAGCAACCGTGTGTATCCTCACTGAAGACCTTTTCACACTAGTAAACCCCGTGCCTGTGGCACCACACTGCAGCTGGGGTTGGGACACAGTCAGTTGTTCAGTGGTTTCCATGACACTGGCTATCCGAAGTCACTTCCCACCTTGCTGGAGAAAAGAGGAGTCATCTTGCTCTGCCCTTGGTCTGGACACCCACCCTTACCCTCCTTTGCCCTCTCCCTGAGACTCAGTTCAAACCCCACCTCTCTAGTGGTTCCCAAATCCCTGCAACTAAAACTGCTCCCCTCAGCCTTTTGTGGCCTCCAGGCCTTCCATTATCCCTCCTCACCTCACCCCTGCTCTACTCCTTCACTGGAATATAAACTCCCTCAGGGCAGGGCTTGACCCTGTCTCCAGCTGAAATCTCGGCACCTAAAAATGACTGTAGCCTCTTGGTGATTCTTTGTTGAAATGAAAGGGATAATTAGGTGCTTGTAATTTCTGAATGCTGGAAGCTAGATACCTGGTTCTAATTAGTTATTTCTATCACCACGTCACCAATGGCAGGGATTGACTTGTGTGTGAGAAAATTGGGATAACTCCTTGGAAGGTATCATTACGTGTTAGGAAACCTAACCTACAGTTTGTCTTACTGGTCAAGCGCAGTTATTGCTAAAAGCAAGACATTTAGTCTCATTCTTGCTGTGTGTTTTAAGGCTCAAACAGAGGAGCAGAAGATGCAGCTCAATGGTAGTGCTTGCCTAGCAGGGACGAAATCTGGGACACAATCTTCGACAGTGGGGGCAAAAGTGATTGAGATAATGAAGAGTTGGAAGGAAGATTTCCATTTTTTAAATCCCCAGTGTTCATTAATTTTAACGCAATGACCTGATACACCTTGGACACCCTTCATAGTCTCCTAAAGCCAAAATTCAACAGACTGATGTAAATACCACTTACTCAAGGCAGAAGCTAAAGTTCACCGGGCAGGATATCTGTCAATCCAACCCAACCTATTTAAGACTCATGCCAATCGGTGTACTGAGCAGCCAGGATGTTGTGGCATGTTTAATATTACCTGTGGCTTCCTATTGGCTAGAGGGACCGAATGTGGCAGAGAGGTAATTACAACACAATTCACCAAGAGCTATTCTTGGAGACGCGTAATAATAATATTACAGAGGTCCATCCCATAGTAGACAAGCAAAAAAAAAAAAAAAAAGAAATACACGCTTGGTTATCAGTGAAGCATGGACTGGAGACCAAGTGAAGACGGAGTGTCTTCTTGGCCCAAAAGATCTATGTCAAGAGAGCGTGCAACTAGCCATTCTATTTTCACCCATTATTTCTCTTCCCTTCTGGATTTATTTTCTGGCCTATAAGCTAACTTAAACACCCACTATGGTGATGAAGCTTATTCAGGAACCCAGCACAGAGTCAATGAGCAAGGAAAGCAACTGAGGAGTGGCCAGTGGGCCCTGGAAGCAAGCCTCCATTACATTTACAAAGGCTTGATTTTCTGCAGGAAAAAAAAAATATTTTGACTTACATTTTTTGGAATCCGTTAGAAGCATCTGAAATGGATGACACCAAGCTGTTTGCCTAAAACAGTGTCCCAAGCCCGAACTGGCATGGATGTGTTCTGAGATTAAAATAGAAACGTGTTTTGCTAACAGAAAACAACTTGGAAATCAAAGAGATGTTCAAGCTGGAAACATTATTTTTCCTTTTCTTGCAGAAGATTCCTAGTTTTACACACACTGATAAATCAGGATAGAGCAGCCACCCTGTCAGAGAACTTTTCACTAACAATTCAAGTAGCAGAGACCTCAAACAGATGAGTTTGGGGTGACATTTGTAATACAGCAAACACTTTCAACACTTATAAGCACCTACTATGTGTCAGCCAATGCTGCAGGCACTAAACAAAGATAGCTATTCTTCTAGGGTTTACCTTAGCTCAGAAAGACGATGTATAAACAAATTATACAGTAAGATGGAAGACCAGTGGAATGGGGGAAAAGGCCCAGTATAGTGGGAGGTGACGCCAGAGGGGTAAGATAAGAATTTTAAATAGTATTCATATTTGGCTCCTTGGGTGATTTTTGAACAAACCAAAGGAAGTGAGACAGCTGTACAGACAATGTCCTTAAAGAAAGGGCATGCCTAGAGGGTGCCAGAAGGCCAGGGGACCATGAACTGAGAAGAGAGGGGACAGGATAGTCACTGGGGTATGGTTTGAGGAGAGGACTGATTTAATAAGTTTCAGTGATACTTTAGGGAAAGCGTGTATTTTCACATGAGCAGTCCTTCGATTTAATGCTTTTTACTCTGCAGCAATATAGTAACTACTTCAAACGGTTCCACAGAGGTGCCCTCATGACCAGCCACCACAAGCTGCCTAGGTGGTAACCATCCTTTCAGGGTGGGGGTGGGGGACGACGACTTGGTGGGGCAGAGCCGCGGGAGACAGGAACAGTTTGCACGTTTCTTCTTCAAACCCGACAGGAGATGCAAACACCTTTTTCAGGGAAAAGGCACAGGGCTACGCCGGCCCTGCACTAGAAGCAATCTCTGCCTTAATCAGTTCAAGAACCTCTTCGGTGTTGGTGCCTAAAGCCTGTGTTCTTACCCTGCTGCCCTCCAGTCCGGGGAGCCCCCACCTGTCTGAGGGACCCCGCAGAGCGCGTACTTCCGCCCCCTCGTCCCAACCTCCCGCAGTTTTCCTCGGGCTCACCCTTTCAGGCAGGTCCCCCTGCTCTCCCTCTTCCAGGCTGTGCTCGCAACTTTTCTTGCAGCCCGGGGCAAGCGCCACTCGTGGCAGACGCTGGTGGCGCGCGGCGTCCCCGCCTCCTGAGCTGCCCCA